GAGAGCCAGAGGAACTCAACCAGACGGGCTGGTGAACCAAAACTATTAACAGGAAGAGGCTCAAAGAGGCTCAGAGCGGCAGACGGGGCTATTCACTCTCCTAGATCAGCAGCACTAATAACCCTTTTTACACTCATTTGATTTAGTGTTGATTCAGAAAATATTGCTGAATGGAGGTTACATTTGCAAGCTAAAGACATTTTTATTTTACATTGCATTATTTATTATTACATTCGAGATCCAATTAAAGATGTTGAGATATTTTTGTCCTATTGGACTCATTTCCAGAATAAGTCAGACACATGAGGAGATGTTAAAACGGCTAAATGATCCCTATACACTTTAACGTATTGGTAAACAGGCCCTGGGTAAAAACGTGCAATACATTTAACATGTTTCTTTGTTCATTGACAAAGTCTTCCAGTAATACTACAAAAGAGGCTCCTCTCCTCATTAACACCCATTCCTCTGGAAAGTCAAGTAGGATAAGCTGGAAATTACACAAACTTTTATCCCCTACTCACCATCAGGGAATATCAAATGTTTTGCACTTGGATTGAGAAAGAAAGAGCTAAATGCCATGCTAAAGGCAACTGTACCTCCGACAAGCCTCTAACAGCCCTTTATAGCAGGCTCAATAGGAGATCTTCACACCAAATGATCACCTGCTACAGTACAAATATGAAGGTTGTGTGGCTTGGCCATTTTTTACGGTTAATAAAAAACTTAGACCATTCTTTTTAACAGCAGGTTTAAAATTCCACACCCAAGTTCTAAGCCTCGGTTTCTATGATTGAACGCATCAGCCTTGGTTTTGATATGGAAAAAACTGGCATATAGATTCCAAAGGCCTAATTACTTACTGCCACAGTCATTACAGTTTGAGAATACAGAAAGACAAGGCAATCAGTCATCATCTTCTTTCTTTCAAGTGAAAGGAACCAGACCTCTGGTGTCCAGTTATAATATAAATACCCACCAAACAAAAGAATGAGACGAGCAGACAGATGAAGGGACGGTCGTTCCACTGTGATCACATCCAATGTATATTATTAAAGGCTCTGATAGTGCCAGAGCATGACTCCAGCCAGGAGCTTGCACATGGAGCTCTGCTCCATCCTACCAGCCCCTGACTGTCTCATATTTAGCATAAAGCTGCTATTATTACATTTAAATGAGGAAGGCAGCTGCAGCCGGACTGTGACCTTCTGAATACATTTGTAGAATGAAAATGTGAGTATCCTGTGACAGATCTGCCTGCGTGTGTCACCTCGCCATACAGCAGACACTGTACAAACATGGGATCTGCCAGCCTCACCACATCCAGTCTCACCGGATCCTTTTCAAGGTGGCTGATGTTACCCAGTATGTGGCAGCATCTGGATTCCAGATGGATCTTGTTTCACATAATGCTTCAATAGTAACACCCTAGATGTTTTCAGGCTACTTTATACATCACTTCTTTCTGGGGCATCGCAAATGAACTGTTATGTGCAACAATGCCCTGATTATAGCTATACATGAAATGGGCTTTTATTAGGAAGCTAAATTCAAACATGAGGAGAAAGGAATCACAAGAGACCGTACAAAATCCTCAGATGAATCTGACATGTCGTTTTTCTTACATTGAGCATATGGTGTATAATGAACTCTGAAGCAAAACAATCTGCTTTCAAGTGAATATACTCTTGAGTTTTCCACAAATGTTGCTAATTGTAACTTCCTCCAACATGGGATAAGTAACCTATACTATTATTCAGTTCTAACTGGAATAACCTTAATCCATCTGTAAACAAATTACTTTGGCTGTGATGATCAACATGTGATCCTACTGTGAGGACATTGGCAATTGTTCAGTGTTATGTCTATCACTATGTCACAGAATATTTAGCATATGACAGTATGGAACAAAGTGCTGTGAAAAAGCAGCTCTGCTTTGAGTGTGTAGCTGTTTTATTAGGGATTGAATAAACTGGAGTATCGGCTCAACAGTATTAAGTGTAAATGCATTGTCTTAATTAATGTAATATCAATGTATTACAAAAACTCTTAAGTGATCATACACATTTTGTCAGTTACATTTGAATAGATTTGCAATATATCGGGTAACTAAGAGAACCTTTTGAGGTTTTTTTCCTTGAGATTTTTGGAGTGAATTAAGTCCATACTTCAATGTTCTTATTTTTCAAGTGCACACCTTCTCTGAGGAGCATGAAGGTCAGAACTGCTCAGGATCATTTAGCACAAGCCCACTTTGCTCCAATGTTTGTGGATGATTATTAAGTTATTACAAGGCCTATTGCATGCACACAAATGCATCAGCCTCAAAGGATTCTGGGGCTTATGTTCCTTTTTTTCTTCTTCAGAGGAACCCAAACAACAGGCACTTCAACTAAGAGCATTTCAATGTGTTTGACATTTACTCAGACTGAATGTCATTTATTTTTACATCTGACTCTTTTTGAGGTTTTTGAAAGAAGCTTCAAATCTCTGTAGTCATATTTTATTCTTTCATCGACCTAAGAAATCCTTGAAGAAAATCCTTAATTTGTGATTGATCATCTTGAATGAGTTTAGTCTTAGTAAATCAGCTTCATGAATATCATTTGTCAGTTTGTGTCTTCCAGTTAGGTGACCAACCTAAAAATGTTGTTTTCTAAAGGCTTAGTGCCAACAGAACATTTAAACTAAGACATGTTGTCAATTTGGAAATATATATATTCATTTCAATACATTTGTACTTTTAGACTTTACATCGCCCCGGATATATTGAAAATATTTGTCCGGAACCAGTTGGAAACTATCCTATGTAACCATCACTGGTATCCTATTCTACAAATAGTGTAACTAATACTAATATAATCATATATAAGTAGGACTTTATCTTGCAACTGCAGAAATACTGTCCTTGAACACAATGAAAAGACATCCAAAAATAAGTTGCTCAGCATTCAAATGTACATTTGAAATGAGGTTTTCAAAGTTATAATGATGCTTAGAACTTACATTTACCCATAAGGCTAGTCATAAATGGAACTGTCATGTACTGTCAGCAATTTGTTGTTTAAATTGACCCCATCCTTACATGTTAGTAGTTGCTTAATAGCTTATCATTGATCATCAGAACATCTTGAAGTGCTCCAAATGGTTGCTAGGCAAAATGATTTCACACTAAGCTCTACTGTGCTCTACTCATTAACGCTGCTAAATTATATTTGTCTATTGATCAAATTGTACGTGAAAGGGTGCACTCATGAACCCACAGAAAGCCATCACCTGCAGTTCTCATCGTTGTGCTTTTTAACGTATTTTTGCAACTTCACTGTTTTAGTCACTTTAAAGGTTCTTATCAGCGTGGATTCAAGCCACAACAGGCAAAGGTTTTCAATAAATACAAAACTGAATCCCATTATATTCTATCTGCCAAGGAACTCATGGCAGATAAACAGAGTTGCTGTCTACCTTCTGAACATATAATAGCAATTAGCAGCTCAATAGTTGGTGAAGAAACACTGTATGATTCCAATGTGATGATTATGTTGCTCCATTTCTGCTGAATGCGTACATTAATTGGGTAACTTTGTGTAAACAAACCTGCAATATCTTTATATGCAGATAATTTCAGTGCTTTTTGTGTAGATCCCCATTAGCTTTAATGGAGAAAAGCAGGTTAAATATTGTGGTAATGCTAAAATATGTTGATACCACATCCATTAGCATCTGATATCAGTGTGATTAAAAATAAATACGAATAAATGTGTATTATATATTCTCCAGTCTTGAAATACAGCTATAATATGTCCATAAATGCAGCACAAGTTGAAAAATGTGAAGAGAACAAAGAGACAATATGCAGATTGTCCAATAACAATGAGTTCATTTTAATCATCAAATGTAATCAGAAATCAACATGCCTCGCTCATTTCACTCCGATGGAAATTTCGTTGAGTGCTTTGAAGACGCGCACACACACTGACAGGCATTATTAACTACAAAAAAGAGAAGAGATTCTAATCAGCTGTCATAACCTGATTACAGGGCTCCAATTAGGAGCTTTGTTTAGCTCCTAAAGCCTTGATGTGAAGAGCAGACCCTTCACTCAGACACTGCCAGGGCTCTGTGGTTTGCAGAGGTTGTTACTGTGCAGTTATACAAAAAAAAAAAGAGAGAGGAAAAGTCCTCTCATCGCTGTCTGCCTGCTGGAGCGTCGCAGCCATGATTATAAAAATGCAAATATAACAAGCAATATAAATTAAACTACGAGAGACCGTTTACTTGGCCTGCATAAATAATCATTGGGCATCATCATTCCCCACACCCACTCTACCCATCACCCCCCACTGACACCCATCCATCTAACCTGTGGCAAATCTAACACCTGCACAGACTCCTTCATACCCAGTGGAAAATAGCCGACAGCAAAAAGGCAGCTGAGAATGAATAAGTGTGAGGCTAGATGAGTTTACTGGCATTTGAAGGAAGATGAATGTTAATGAGGGCAGGCGAGGAAGCGTCGTCAACCACCCTGGGGGGGGGGGGGGGGGTCACAAAAACAGACACACTCTTAATCAGCCTCACACCTTCTGCTGTGATGTAAAAAGGCTGGACATAGGTGTGTTTTCATGCATCCATGCACACATATGCAATATAATATTTATAGCATATACCTGTATTTATACCACCAACACATATACAAGCAACAGAACATACTGTACGTTCAAAATGATACATGCATGTGTGTGTTTCCCTAAATACAAACCCAGTTTTCATAGCACGTAGCGAAATGAAAGCCATCTGGATGACAAGGCACAAATAAGATCTGGAGCCCTCCTCAGTGAATAATATTCCCTCTCTCCATCCCTATATTTTGCCTTCGATACACAGTTTTATTTCTGTCATTAATTTGCTCCCTGGCGATCCTCTGGCCCCACCACTGCACCATAATAAATCTGATCCAATGCCTCAGCGCTCAAAGCCCACCATAGAGACCGAGTACTTACCAGGACTGTCATGCAGAGAATTCTAATTCAGGCAGCTCCATGTTGCCAAGGAAATTCAAAATGCCTCCGAAAGCATGGAGACAGGGATGCAGGATTCACGACAGGCTGGATTCAGACGGGGGAAGAGGGATATATGCAGCGCTGAGAATCCCCCTTGTCTGAGGGGCATTTGAGAGAAGCCTCGTTCCTCTCCAGATGCGCTAAATCCGGCAGCACTGATAGGCTGACATGTAAACACACAGGCGGCTCTGCTGGCTCACACACGCTCGCATACATGCTGCACCTAGCAGCGACAGAGAGGGGAGAGGGGAGAGGGGAGGGGCAGCTGATGAGGGAGGTGGAGGGAGGAGCTGCAGTGTGCTGGGAGACTGAGAGGCACACAGCAGCACTCATCCAGAGAGAAGAGTTGAAAAGAAGTGGAGAGAAATGTTCCCTGATTGCACTGGCAGCTCAGATTTTAGTTTACTGTAGTTTCCTATGTATGGAGGGACTGGAATGATCTGGTTAGCTGCTGGCTGCCCTGTGGGAGAGGGAAAGCAATCAAACGGGTGTGTGGTGAGAGAAGAAAGGAGGTGATCAACAAAAAGTGATGTGGGGTTATACAGGGGAGGAGTGAGTGATAGAGGGATACACAGCTAATGGAATTCAATTTGTTCAGTTTGCAAGCCTTTGCTGGTAATGACAAACAACCTGAGACTGTAGTGGATCAGGATGGAGACGTTTTTTCCGTTTTTTAAAGATTTCTTGCCAGAGTTGAGGATTAACGCCACCCGTAGTGATGCATGAGGTAATCATCACTCACCTTTGCTGTGAGGAGTGGGGGCTGGGGGTGAGACGCACAGGCTTAACGGTGCTAATGGGTATATGGGGCTGGCACACACATGCTGGCAATGCCAAGGAAGCTCCGTAGTCAGGGAGTGTTTATGGAAGATTAGGGGGCTGAGGATTTAGTCGAGTGGTGGTGGTGGTGGACATGAAAGGCTCCTGGCCACAGAATAGCTTACCAAGAGACATCTACATCTTATTGTATACATTTTATTTTTAAATTTACAAGAGATTCATTTCAATTTTTTTAGACCAAGTTATGACGCATACTGTACCTCTGCTTTTCTACTAAATCTGTTTCACAAACAGCAGTACACAGAGCTGAAGACACATCCAATAGAGGCACATTTCGGCCTCACAATAAAACATGGAGAGGAAGAGAATTATTCAGGCAGCTGGAAAAGGGGAAGCACTCTACACCTATACAACATAAAATATATTTATGGCTCATTTGGCCAACTGGAAGCTAATCTAAAACAGATGAGTTATGCCTTATGTAAGAAATAAAACCAGATGAAATGTGAGTGAGTGAAATTTGAATGAATGAGACCAAGGATAAGAGCCGCCCGACATGGAGCGGGAGGAATTCATCTCATTTTTACGTTTGAATGGGACCATGCCTACTACGTCCAATTACAAGAGATTGGACAGCTGATTCATGACATGTTCATTTACATTCAATGGCACTATGAATTCTCCTCTTTCCGTGTCAGCAGATCGGGGCGGACAAAACCGTGTGACTCACAGCCCATGATTTGCGACTGGATTTGTGCCTGAGACAGTTGGAAAAATACAATTGTGTTTGCATTTAATGGTACAAAAGTCAATCCCAGCAGCAAAGATGGTTGATTTAATAAAAAATGCAAGCGCTCTTTTCCCCATAGTTAATGTGTGCACTTATGCAATGCAGCTTTATGCAGGATGGATTTATAATAGCATAACAAATGATCACAAGGTATTTTCTTGAGGTGAACCTTGGCTCCTATGGGTATGTTTGCAGCCCATTCATCCCATTAAAAGCTTCACATTTTGGGATTGCTTTCTTTTCATTTGTGCCTTATATACAGTGTGTATTAGATTGTTGGCCCGCATCAGTACTGTAAATCCAAAATAATACAATCATGCAGCTGTTGATACAGGAACATATATATTATAACTACCACATGCTCCTCTGTGGGGGCTTTTTGCCGGATGATAAACTGCCCCTTTAAACCCAACACACTTGAAACACCAACTAAATTTAAATACTGTCCATGAACACAAAACTGCAAGAAAACTTGTAAACATCTGTCCCTGAGCTTATAACGTGTTTTGGGGGGTTTGCGCCTGAGCCTGTTAAATACTCGACTTAGCGGTAAAAACACCATCTGCATCAACAAAATGAAACCGTGTTCTGGGTTCACGGAGAAAAAAATCTTCCTTTCATGCACCATTCTCTCAGCATTCTGCTCTCTCCAGTCATTCGTTTTTTTAACTGTTTACTGGATGTTTTTTTCCCCCAACTACAACCACTTCATTACTGCAGTCACAAAATGTGTATAATGATGCTTTTATTTTGGTATAGTCACACTGTGCGTGTGCTATTTGTGGACCCTTGCCAGGACATTACAAATGCATGATCGATTAAGTGGTGAAGCTACTACCTGGAAGGCTCCGTTCACCTCTTTACCACCTCCTCAACAACCAGCCAAACAACTTTATTGCTTAAAGATTAACTACCTGATTTATTCATTTTCTCACTGCTGAGTACATGTTTTACCTCTTACAGTAGCTAGGAATATTTTGTTCGAAGATTTCAACATGGATGATTTTTATCCAGGTCATGCCCTGTCGCCTGCTCTTACTGTTACTGGCAGTTAATGCTGACATGGTCTGTCATTTTATGCCAATCGCAAAAAATAGGTCACAGTGGCATCATTTCTTCTGGATCCATCCAGATTTAGAGTAAATAAACACTTCACAGCATACCTGGTACACAAATGTGTCAAGGGACAAAGCTACTGACTGCTTGGTTGGTGTTAAAGTGCTTTTCAGTAGGGTCATATTTTAATTAAGCCAGATCAGTGAGGATTTAACACCAAACTGTGTTGTGCGTGTGTTATCAGACCTGTTACAGCTGGTATTAAGTTTGTTTCACGAAGCAGCTAACATGCGGTGGCATCTCCCAAAATTCACACAGCAGTTTCCCCCTAGTCTCTGCAGGGAAACTGCTACTGTGGAAATTGCTACAGAAAAGTCGTCCATGGAGCAAGAGTGGTCAGCAGAAAAGACACTTCCACTGGCTGCACTACACGTAGAAGCCGGAAAGGCCTAAAGAGTTATTTCACTTTGGTTTCTGTCATATTCAATCACGATGATGAGGAGGTAGCATGCGTTAAACGTAGGTCCTTTAGAAAAACCAGAGGAGCTTCTGTGTTCATGGCTCTGTATGTGTTTGTTTGTGTGAATACACAGAAATACATTTCAATTTGAAAAGCCAGAATCTTTGAAAAGATATAAACACAAATACATTTGCTGCATGAGGTTTATTTACGTTGAATATTGACGGAAAGAACTGAAACATCAAAGACTGTTTCTCAAGCTTAATGAGAGCAAGTCTGAGTTGTCAAATTCCGCCTCCCCGACTCCATCATTACCACCATTAGAAACCCTGTAAAGCCATTTGCTGGAAAATCTGGAGGAATGTTTCACGCAGTCCTAGCTTTGATAAACAAATTAACTCGGTAGTTGGTTCTTATTTATCCCTTTTGGCTATTAACTGGGCTTTGCTGTCCCATTTGCATCTACTTGTCCAAAATGCTGTTGAAAAACCTTTTTTGTGGTGAATTGAAAGAATAGAGACAATTGAGCTCTAGGCTTCTCCTGACTGCTTTCCAGTGCGTCAACATTTTACTTAAAGATCTTGCTGTTGTTTGTTTGTTGGTCTAGCTTTATTTATTTATTTGACAGGGACAGTGCACATTGATTAACATTTCTTTTTTTTGTACAAATCTTTTTATTGCTTGATTAACATTTCTGTAAATGCGCCAGAGTTAGCCAACAGGCTATTTTTCATCTGCAGTCCCTGGACAGATGTTGAAAATCATTTACTTCAAATGACAGGTAAATACAATCAGTAAAACAACATTCAACATAGATGCTTATATTATGATAAAAGCATCTATAAAAACATAAAAACAAAACAAAAATACATATTCCCAAAGCAGACAGATAGCAGATAACAGGTCAAGGCACATGTGTACAAACAGAGCGTTGTAAAGTGCAGATTGTGTCAGTGTTGACAGAGCTGATTTTCCACTAACCATGTTTTTAAATGAGATTTGAATAAACTGCAGGTGTTTTGTTCTCTAATCGTTACTGGGATTGAGTTCCACTGTTGTGCAGCTTTAAAAGAAAATGAAGATTGGCTGAATGAACTCTTCCTTAATGGAACAACGCAATCTCCTCTTGTTGCAGCTCTTGTTGACTACAGGTGTGCGTATGGTGATAAAATGTCTGAGCGGAGGTGAGGTAAGGCCGTGTATTCTTTTGTACATGAGGCAAGCATTTGCATATCTCATTACATTTTCCCAGCTCAACAAGTTGTATTTTGTGAGTATTGGGCAATGATGAGAATGAACTGATTTCTTATCTACTATGTTAAGTGTTTGTTTGTATAATGATTCCAGGGGTTTAAGAGTGGTTGTACAGGCATGTGACCAGGTTGTTAAGCAGTAGGTGATGTGAGATAGAACCATAGAGTGCATGTACATCAGAGTTGACATGCAGTCTCTGGTAAACCTCAAATTTGACAGACTGAATTTGACCCTGTTGCACACCTTTTTCACCTGAGCCTTAAAATTGAGTCTTGAATCAATTAAGACCCCCAGGTATTTGTACTGTGAGACCACCTGTAGCCTCTCCCCGGACACAAACACATCTGGCTCAACAGATGACGTTAAGCTGTGTTTGAATTTTCTCATACAACTGAGCAAAAACCTTACTGCACTGCAGGTCATTTGAGAATGATCATCTAACACCCTCAGTTCTGCAGAGCTTTTTGCCGCCTTTCAGTTCCTTGTTGGTTCTTAACCACCTTGCTGTTCGGAGTGAGTCTCACAGCTCTCATCGGGTTGAATATATACATTAAAGAGGGTTTCATCCCTCCAATTCTCTATATGTTGCCTGCCCAAATGATAGTAGCGTGTGAACAAAGCAGAGCATTAAACTTATGGGACAGAGATGACAAAAACAAAGCACCATTTATGATCTTGATTATTTGTTATATTGGGTGCATTTATATGTCGATGCTTGTATTTATGTAGTGCTTTTATTCAAAGTGTCTTAATATACCTGTTATTAAAGGTGGGGTAGGTAAGTTTGAGAAACCGGCTCGAGATACACTTTTTGTTATATTCCATGGAATGCTCTTAACATCCCG